TACAATTGTGGCCTAAATGAGGTTATTAAAGAATGTTGGCTCTCAAATGCTTAATATGAGATGCATGCTATACTTGAGTTATATTACGAGTTATTTTCCCTTGTCATGTCTTAATTAATGATATACCTCTTATGTATGAATATGGTGCAAAGGTGAAAGAAAGGAATGATAAGTTACCTTAAGTGACCTTAATATGGTGCCTTAGTATGGATGGGGGTATGGGACGCCATCCATACATTGCACGAGGTATAGCATAAGGGTTTCTTGAGGTGAAGGTCCAAGGTAAAGGTTTTCATGTTGAAATTGTTTAAAGGTAATATTATGACTTACTTGATGTTTATGCTTGTATTGTACGTCTTTTATGCAACTATTCATGGTACTTCAAAAAGTGGCATAATGCATGGTTTCTAGCCAAAATGTCCCTTTTAAAGCATGTTTTGCATGGTCATCATACTTAGTACATTTTGTGTACTAACCCATATTCTTCATATTTTTACTATAAATGTAGGTTCCGGCAAGTGATCCCTCCTAGCTAGTTTGAAGTGTTGGATTGCTTCCTCCAAGACTTGGTATGTCCTCATGGATTCGAGGATAAGACTTTTAAGTTCTTTTGTTCATGTAATAGACTTAATAGACTTCTTTTGATTGTAAAGGGTCGTGTCCCTACTTATGTTTTGTGACTGTGTCTAAGATGGCCATGTGAGACTTAGACTTCCGCTGTGTGTTTTTAAAGTTGCTTTAATGAAGTTTAAATGTGTGGATGTAAATAAGTTTTTTTTTTATTCCGCACTATTTTCATTATTGAATGCAATGAATGACTATGTGGCTCGTATAAGACCCCTTCGGGGTCGAATACGCCATGTTACGACTAGGGGGTACTCTCGGGTCTTGACAAATTCCTCCCAAGATAAAACAGATTTACCTGTTAAAGAAGTAGCGGTACCTCAAACTTCAATAACTTCAGCGAATGCAAGAACAGCAACAAGAGCACACACAGACTCAGTCGATCGACAATTTTATTTATGTAAGAAAATGTATGCAGAGAGGAAAAATTTCAGTGTTTGAAAAAATGAAAAAGACCTTATTTATAGCCATTTGCAGCAAGGAACGTGTCTGTTCAGAAAATCTGTTCAGACCCATTTTTTCCAGAACATTGTGTCCTTTTGGGAAAAGTAACGACTTTTCGGAAGGAATACCGTTTGGAAAAAGAAACGACTTTTTGAAAGGATTACCGTTACACGTGAATTTCAAATAAATTCAGTTGCCCCAAATTAATTCTGTTATTTAATTAACACTCTGAATTAATTTTTAAGAGAAAGGAAATGATTTAACAAGATTGATTAAATAAATTTTGTCCAAAAATATTATCAATCAATCACATCATTTGCCAAATCCAAATCCAAATCCAAATCCAAAGCCAAAGCCAAAGCTGAGGCCGAGCAAGCGAGCGACGACGACGGCGCGAGGGGCACCTTCTTCTTAACCCTTTAAGAACTAAAGGAAGTGTTTCCTAATATAAGGACAACAATTTCCTTTCTTCTACCGATATGGTAAAAATGACCTTTCATTTGCACTTTTGCAATGATGACTTTTCATTTTCCCTCCAAAATTGGTTCCCCCACTTTCATTGGTTCTTCCACTTTCCATTTTCTCTTTTTTTATTTCCCATTCACACCTTGCTAAACCCAACAATCCCCCACATGAATGGGGAATGGCTATTGTTAAAACATATGCATGAAAAGTGTGTCTTGTAAGTAAGGGTTAATCGCATCTGGATAAGTAGGTTTCCCTTTAAACTTTCCGTAGTGAACATATATCGGATATACTCGGTCAATCGGTAGATTTGATATCTTTGAACCGTCGAGCTTTAGTGTATACCTAGACAACATAAGTCACACAATCAACCCTTAAACTGTTTTTAGTTCTCATTGTTTTGTTCGTTTCAGCCATGAACACATCTCGGTTAATAAGTGCTTAGAGAACTGGCCTTACCGGATTCTCCTTGAAGCGGCTTACACTTCACACTTACATAAGTGATTTCTAATTGTGTTATCCCGTAGATACACTATTTGATATACCTTGTATCAAACTTAGAAACCACTAAAAAGTCCTTATGCCTTTATCCTGGTTACTGAACATTGTCTCATCATGAGAATGGACCATCAAATATGTTTTGACAATGTTGAACCGTCATCTATGACTTTGTTTTATCTCCTTGAACCTAGATCTTGGGATCTCCAGTCTTCTAGGTAGAGTTACCGCCACGATGACTTGTTCTCGGCCATAGTCCCATTCCCGTCGATGATCTCTCAACTCCCTCTCTAGTTAGGCCTTTTGTAAGTGGATCCAACACATTATCCTTTGACTTTACATAGTCAATTGTGATAATTCCACTAGAGAGTAGTTGTCTAACAGAGTTATGTCTTCGTCTTATGTGACGAGACTTCCCGTTATACATAACGCTTCCAGCCCTTCCTATTGCAGCTTGACTATCGCAGTGTATGCATATAGGGGCCATTGGTTTGGGCCAAAACGGAATATCTTCTAAGAAATTCCGGAGCCATTCAGCTTCTTCACCTGCCTTGTCTAAGGCGATGAATTCTGACTCCATTGTAGAGCGAGCTATACATGTTTGTTTGGATGATTTCCAAGAAATTGCTCCTCCACCAATAGTGAAAACATATCCACTCGTGGATTTCGTTTCAGTTGACCCAGTAATCCAATTTGCATCACTATATCCTTCAAGAACTACTGGATATTTGTTGTAATGCAAAGCATAGTTTTGAGTATCTTCTAAGTACCCCAAAACTCTCTTCATTGCCAACCAATGATTTTGATTGGGATTACTTGTGTATCGACTCAGTTTACTTATAGCGCAGGCTATGTCTGGTCGTGTACAATTCATGACATACATCAAGCTTTCTAATACTCTGGCGTAATCCAATTGAGATTGACTCTCACCTTTATTCTTAGCAAGATTAAGGTTCACATCAATTGGGGTCTTTGCCTTTTTGAAATTCAAATACTTGAACTTTTCAAGTACCTTTTGAATATAATGAGATTGAGACAATGCTAGACCGTTAGGAGTTTTGTGAATCTTTATTCCCAATATCAAATCGGCTACTCCTAGATCTTTCATATCAAACTTACTAGCAAGCATACGCTTAGTAGCTTTTATATTGGTAATGTCCTTGCTCATTATCAGCATGTCATCCACATATAGGCATACAATGACTTCCTGACCCGTAGTGTCTTTAATGTAAACACATTTATCACACTCATTGATCTTAAATCCATTTGACAACATGGTTTGATCAAACTTTGCATGCTATTGTTTCGGTGCTTGTTTTAGTCCATAAAGTGACTTAACAAGTTTGCATACTTTCTTTTCTTTGCCGGGAACTACGAAGCCCTCAGGCTGTTCCATGTATATTTCTTCCTCCAACCCTCCATTTAAGAATGCGGTTTTCACATCCATTTGATGGATTTCAAGACCGTATACTGCAGTTAGGGAAATTAACATCCGAATTGATATAATCCTAGTCACTGGCGAGTATGTGTCAAAATAATCAAGACCTTCTTTCTGTCTAAAGCCTTTGACAACAAGTCTTGCTTTATATTTGTCAATAGTTCCATCATCTTTCATCTTCTTTTTGAAGATCCATTTAGAACCCAAAGGTTTGTTCCCTGGAGGAAGATCAACCAACTCCCAGGTATGATTGCTTAAGATTGATTCAATCTCACTATTGACAGCCTCCTTCCAAGAGGTTGAGTCGCTAGACAACATCGCTTCCTTGAATGTTTGAGGCTCACTTTCAAGAAGGAATGTTACAAAATCAGATCCAAATGAAGTAGCTGTCCTTTGACGTTTACTGCGCCTTGGACTCTCTTCATTGGTTTCATTCTCTTTTGGTTCTTTTCGAGGTTGTTTAGACCCCCCACTAGATGACTCAAGTCTAGTTTTATACGGATAGATATGTTCAAAAAATTTAGCATTATCTGATTCCATTACCGTATTATCATGAATTTCCGGATGTTCGAACTTATGAACTAAAAATCGACATGCCTTACTATTTGTGGCATATCCAATGAATACACAATCCACAGTCTTAGGCCCTATTTTCACCCTCTTAGGTATAGGAACCTGGACCTTGGCAAGACACCCCCACACTTTGAAATATTTCAAGTTGGGTTTTCTACCTTTCCATTTCTCATATGGACTAACATGTGTCTTCGTATGAGGCACTCTATTGAGTATTCGATTTGCTGTAAGGATTGCCTCCCCCCACAAGTTTTGTGGTAAACCTGAACTTATAAGTAAGACATTCATCATTTCCTTTAAAGTTTGGTTTTTTCTTTCTGCAATTCCATTAGATTGTGGAGAGTAAGGAGCAGTAGTTTGATGGATTATTCCATTTTCCAAACATATTTCTGCAAATGGAGATTCATATTCTCCACCTCTATCACTTCTGATCATTTTGATCTTTCTATCAAACTGATTTTCAACTTCAGTCTTATATTGCCTAAATGCATCTATTGCTTCATCCTTACCATTTAGCAAATAGACATAACAATATTTAGTACAATCGTCAATAAAAGTTATGAAATACTTTTTCCCACCACGTGTTGGTGTTGACTTCATGTCACAAATGTCAGTGTGAATCAGTTCTAAGGGATATGAACTCCTTGCAACAGATTTATAAGGATGCTTAGCATACTTAGATTCAACGCAAACTTGACATTTTGATTTATTGCACTCAAATTTAGGCAAAACATTTAAGGTAATCAGTTTTCGCAAGGTTTTGTTATTAACGTGTCCCAAACGTTCATGCCATAAACATTTAGACTCAAGCAAGTAAGAAGAAGCATAATCTTTATTCATATCAACTGCAATTACATTGAGTTTTAAAAGGCCCTCAGTGAGGTAACCTTTTCCTACATACATCTCATTCTTACTTACTACAACTTTATCAGAAACAAATACACATTTGAATCCATTCTTAGTCAGAACTGGTATAGAAACTAGGTTCTTTCGCAATCCCGGAACATACGAGACCCTGTTCAAAGTCACCACCTTGCCTGATGTCATCTTTAGGAGGATCTTGCCAGTTCCTTCCACCTTTGCAACAACGGAATTTGCCATAAAAGACTTCTCGTCTGTAGGTGCTGGAGTATATGATGAAATAATTCTTTGTTGGCACAAACATGGCATGAGGCACCAGAATCTATCCACCATTCTCTTGGATTTCCAACCAAGTTGCATTCTGAAAGCATTGCACAAAGATCGTCCATCTCTGCTTTAGATTCAGCCAAATTTGCTTGATCCTTCTTCTTGTCCTTCTTGGGACCCCTACATTCAGTAGCCTTATGACCACGTTTGCCACAGTTGAAGCAGCTTTCATTGAATTTCTTCTTAGGAGGATTGCTCTTTGGACGAGATGCTTTCTTTCTTTTATTTGATTTTGTGGGATCTTCTTCAACAATATTTACTCCAGATATTGCTGAATTACCACGCGATCTCTTTTCTGCTGCCTTGTTATCTTCTTCGATTCTCAGCCTTACCATGAGATCTTCAACAGTCATCTCCTTGCGTTTATGTTTCAAGTAGTTTTTGAAGTCCTTCCACAATGGAGGTAACTTCTCAATAATTGCAGCCACTTGAAACGCATCATTCACAACCAATCCTACATTAAAGATTATGTGAGTATTAAGAATAAGCTTAATATTTCCAACATAGGTATTAGATAAATTTATACCTTCAGCAAGGAGATCATAAATTATGACATGCAATTCTTGAACTTGGGTGACGACGGTCTTACTGTCTATCATCTTATAGTCCAGAAACTTTGCCACAATAAACTTCTTCATTCCGGCATCCTCTGTTTTGTACTTCTTTTCTAAAGCATCCCAGAGTTCTTTTGAGGTTTTCATATTACTGTACACATTGTACAAATCATCCTGCAGGCCACTCGGAATATAATTTTTACACAAAAAATCAAAATGTGTCCATGCTTCTGTTACCAAGAATCGTTCTTCAGGCGGAGTTTCATCCGACATAACAGGAACGTTCTCATTAATGAACCTCTGCAGACTCAACGTAGTCAGATAGAAAAACATCTTTTGCTGCCATCTCTTGTAGTCGACTCCAGAAAACTTTGCAGGTTTCTCAGCCGGTGCTAGGGCATCATTTGAACGATTGTGTGCAACCGATGTTGTTGCAGCACTTACTGTTCCAGCATTTACTTGACTTGAATTAGTCATTTTTCTACAATTTAGTATGTGAAATACTACCAGTAAAGACTAAATCCTTATACAGACTGTTTCTGATTTAACGATAAAGTTTTTATGTTCTTTTAATCGTTAACCGAATGAATTTTAAAAATTCAAACAGAGTAGAAAACCATAAAGGTTTTAATCTCCAGAAACCTCAAATACAGAAACTATTAAATTTCTTAAGATTGTTATCTCCTGTATTCAGGTTAGTCAAAAATACAGAAACAGAAAAAGATGAAATTGACAGAATGATTTTTAATTCGAGTCCACAGAAACCACTGTGTTTCCTTAAGAAATTTAATCCCCTCATTGTACCCGAGGTTGCAGATTAATTCCTCCCAAGATAAAACGGATTAACCTGTTAAAGAAGTAGCGGTACCTCAAATTTCAATAACTTCAGCGAACGCAAGAACAGCAACAAGAGCACACAGACTCATTCGATTGACAATTTTATTTATGTAAGAAAATCTATGCAGAGAGGAAAAATTTCAGTGTTTGAAAAAACGAAAAAGACCTCTTATTTATAGCCATTTGCAGCAAGGAACGCGTCTGTTCAGAAAATCTGTTCAGACCCGTTTTTTCCAGAACATTGTGTCCGTTGGGAAAAGTAACGACTTTTCGGAAGGAATACCGTTTGGGAAAAGAAACGACTTTTTGAAAGGATTACCGTTACACGTTAATTTCAAATAAATTCAGTTGCCCCAAATTAATTCTGTTATTTAATTAACATTCTGAATTAATGTTTAAGAGAAAGGAAATGATTTAACAAGATTGATTAAATAAATTTTGTCCAAAAAATATTATCAATCAATCACATCATTTGCCAAATCCGAAGCCGAAGCCGAAGCCGTAGCCGAGGCCGAGCAAGCGAGCGACGACGACGGCGCGAGGGGCACCTTCTTCTTAACTCTTTAAGAACTAAAGGAAGTGTTTCCTAATATAAGGACAACAATTTCTTTTCTTCTACCGATATGGTAAAAATGACCTTTCATTTGCATTTTTTCAATGATGACTTTTCATTTCCCTCCAAAATTGGTTCCCCCACTTTCATTGGTTCTTCCACTTTCCATTTTTTCTTTTTTTATTTCCCATTCACACCTTGCTAAACCCAACAGAGTATTCATACTCTGCAGAGGACCAGATTCCTGCACTTGAGAGGAGATCATCAAAACATCAAGGAGCATAAGCAATTATCATATCTATATATTATATAATAGGAGAAGAGAAAAAGTGACACATGTCAAATCCAAATAAATTCTAACTTTTCACGTCTATCTATTATAACTTCTCAACTGATTACAACTTTTAAGTTCTACATCATGATTTTATGACAATTACAATTATTAATAACTTTTCAAATCCAAATAAATTAATATATAAATAATAAATAAAGTTAATATATAGTTTATGAATATAGTTAATGATTTTAGCCTTTTGTAATAGATGTTCCTTCTCCCTATATTCCTTTTAATTAGTTGATGGTTTGATATTAATTTCATACTTTATTTAAAGAAGGTGGACGGAGAGTTTTTAGCTATTCAACATAATGAGACTTCGACATTCATCTTAAGATTGCAACGACATAAATTTAAAATTAATGAGATTGGACAGACACTTCTAAAAGGAAAACGACTATTTCTTATTTTCTTGAATTGAAAGTAGTTAAGGTAGTTTATATAAATATATATAAATTTTGAATTAAAAGTTGTTAATGTAATTATTTATCCATTTGCATTGACATGTATTATTTAAAAAAATTCACTTTGAGTCAATTCAATTTTACCTATATTTTGGGTAAAACATTATTTAAATGATAAAAATAAATTGTGGCTTATTTAAACATGCTTTTTTAAATAAATTTTCATCTTCAACCTTTCTAAACAAAATTATCATAAAAGTTGTCTCCAAAGACATAACGTCGGTCAAAATAGAAAGAAGTCTTATTGACTCTAATAACATGATTTAGTCCCATTCAAAACATATTTTTTTATACGTCCTATAGTTGAAATAATGTCACGACATGTCACGACCTGAGCCTACACCTTGGACATGGCCGACACTCGAGAACCATTACTGGTCCCCAAGCGAACCCTCATCATGGTTGACTTCAAGCGGAAGACTAACTCAAGCATACAAAGCTTAAAAACTGAATAAATATTCAAGAAACTTAAATAGAAAGCTTTAACTCAAAAGAAAACTCCGAATAAAACAAATTATTCTACTCGCCACAAAATAGGCAACTTAAGTCTTTAAAACATTTAATAAAATAAATGAACAGACTTCTGAAACTCTACTGTCTATCTATGAAGCCTCTAAATGACAATGATGGAAGTCGGGACAAGACCCACGACCTCCTAACAACTGAAAGTAAATGAAATCCTCTGGAAACAAGGAGGCTCACCATAGCTAACTCGAACTCCCGGATGTATCAACGAAGCTCCTATTGATGATCTTGAATACCATTGTCTGCATCATGAGAAGATGCAGGCCAAATGGCTCAGTACGTGGAATGTATGAGCGTGTAAGGGGAATTCTAAAGCATAACATAAGCTTGAACTTGATAAAAAGGAAACATACTTACCTCCTTTCAAACTCACTCAACTCAACTCAACTTAAGAATAAGATACTCAACTCAAGGATTAGATACTCAACTTCAAAGATATGATACTCGACTCAATGAAGCACAAATCAACTCAAGATACTCAACTTAAGGTACTCAACTCGAAATACTCAACATAACTGGACTCATTTCAATATAAAACAGTTTAAAGACATGTGCAATATAAAGAAAAGCTGTTTAAAACATGGTTTTTTTTAACTCTGTGTATTTATAAATACAATGATAACTCTGTATGTATGCAACGATACAATATGAACTCTGAGATGTATGTAAAAATTCAAAATAAACTGATGTATATAAAATACAATAACTTATGTGGGAGTTTCTCTAACCGACAACCATCACATAAGAGCTATTGTGATGATACAACGATCTTCCTCACACTGCCAGCGCATCCTATACCCGGCCAAAGGTATAGTACCTGAACTACTAAGTGGATCCACTAGTCTATTGTGAAAATGATTCATCTAAAAAGTATGACCCTTTTCTACCCATGGTGGCTACATGGTTTATGGGGGCTGTGAGTTGTCTGAATTCTCCCCCATATCGGTGCTCAATACTACTCCCAAAAATATACTAGCTCTTATGTTTTAAAAACATACTTCTTTCTGTGATTTGAGATTAGTGCTAAAATACTTAGCTCAAAGGCTATCTTGGAAATCAAAGTTTCCTCTCTTGCTTAATTGTGAAATCATTTACTCTTTAACTGAAAACTAGCCCAAAGGCTCTTGACTAAAAAACTAGCTCAAAGGCTCTTTATTGAAACACTAGCTCAAAGGCTGAAAATCCCAGTTTTCCATTCTTATTTAAATGTGAAAACATTTTAAACACTTTTTGGAATACATAATCCCTATATACCTTAGAAGAAATGAACTTCAACTTTACTCTTTACTGAACTCAAAACTTAAGTCTTCAAACAAAGTTAAAACACTTGTAAAAGACTTTTTAAAATATGGTTCATGCCGAATTATTGACGTGAACGACTCGATGCAAGGTTTTCAATAACCATAGATAGATCTCAATACTTGGAATTCAAGAACTTCACTAATACTACTCATTTCAAGAATGCTCAACTCAGAGGGCTCATGCAGAATTATGATCATGAACTACTCACTCATGGACTCAAATATACTTCTCATCTCAAGACTGTTCGACTTACAAGGTTCATGCAAAATTATGGGCATGAATAATTCAACTCAAGGACTCCATGGGTAACATGTAATAGTGTCATGATTATAAATATAATCTCATAAGGGATTATGAACTCAATACTTAAAACTTGGAGATACTACTCCTCTCGAAGGTACTCAACTGATGAAGTTCATGCGGAAGTTATGGACATGAACGACTCGACTCAAGGGTCAAAATATCAATAAGGAACTCATGTATACGACTCTTCTCATTCTTATACTTACTTCCTCAAATCGATGATGGATCTCAAAGGATTAACAATTGAACTCAAAGAATTTCTTGAAGTTTACTCTTAACTCTCTCTTGAATGTGAATTATGAATTCAAGAATTATGGTTCATGGTAGGAAGGATATCGTGATGATAAAGTGGACTCATGAATACATTCTCCTCATTCTCATACTCACTTGCTCGAGTCTTGAAACAAGTTATTTGAGTTTGTAGAAGGTTCTTCAAAGAAAACTCAAAGGGACTATCTCAAAATGATCGAAAAAAACTCTCAAGACTTAACTCTTAACTCTACCTTGAATTTGGATTTATGGATTCAAGGTTACGATTCATATTCATGGATGATTTCTAGATGTTTAGAAGTCATTTAGAGTAGTTAGAATCATTGGAAAGTGTTAGGACACTTTAGAATAACTTAAATAGGCTAAACGATGAAAAACTTGTGAAAAACACCGATCTGAGCGCGTCCCTGGCGCGGCGCGCCAGGCCTCAATTTACTAGGGCTCATTTATGGTGCATTGCTGGCGCGTCACCCCAGCCTTCCTGAAGCAACGGGGGCGCGTCGCACCAGCATTGCCCCAGGCAAAACTGACGAACTTTTCCTCTCGTTTTCTGACCTTAAATCGCTTTAAATCAATTTTTTTTCTCAAGTTTTCCTTAGATTCAATTACCCAACCGTAGTACACACTAATCTACTAAAAAAAACACTCAAAACAAGCACTTTTATCTCGAGAAATCATCAAAACCCCAACAAAACAAGATTAAGGATGAACTTCAAGAACACCTATCAAGAACTTAAATCCTTCAACTTTTGAGAATGAGTTTACACTGAAAATAACATGTTTGGCGTGTGGGTGAACTAACCCAACACTATGGAAGCTTACATACCTCTTAGGGATCAAACCTATGGCGACAATCCACAACAACTCTCAAGAATTTCGACGAACGCTT